GAGAGAGAGAGAGAGAGAGAGAGAGAGAGAGAGAGAGAGAGAGAGAGAGAGAGAGAGAGAGAGAGAGAGAGAGAGAGAGAGAGAGAGATTTGCATTGGGCAGTTGCACACCATGAATGCATCACCCATCATATCTGTTTTTATGAGCGAAGCCGCAACAGGTCATCTAGTGACCTATGCAATGCTCAGGCAGGTGTGTGGTTTCTTCCCCCATTCCACATCTCTGCCTGCATTGTACACAGACGGAGATGGCCATTACATGGCCAGTGCATCTTCACTGCAGCGGTGCTGGGTTGGACTGAATGCTAGGACCGGTATGGCTTCAGCTTTGAACACCGTCTCGCGGTTGCAGTGGTTAAAGCACCCGGCTGCTGTGGGCCGAGATCACCGGTTCGAGTACGTGTGGCTACGGATTTGGTCCTGGCAAACATACTGAACAGTGTACTTGCATCTGACCTGTGGGACCTGTGGGACACCGCCAAGGCATGGTCGCATGCCTTGACTGATGTAACTGATTTCTTACGTAACGATGGTGTTTTCTTGCCACACCTGTGGGACACCGGCACCATGGTCGCATGCCTTGACTGTGCAAAGGAGAAGGACACAGAGTGTTGATTACATGGCGTCCAGCCACTCTTTTACGTCGAAGATAATTCCTATGCCCCCGTGCTGCAGCAGGACAATGAATGTATCAGCACTTTGTGTCCTTCTCCTTTGCACAGCTACAAACAACTGTTACAATCGGCTGCGGCCGTCATCGGTCTCTGTCACAGTCACGAGAATGACATGGTTTCTGCATCCATGTTTGCGGAGGACTGTGCCTCCTTTCCTGATCGCAGGCACCCTCCACATCCGGACACTACATTTTTTTATGTCCATTTTGCCGCCATGGGCATTACACCGAATGCGTTATCCTGATTTGTCGTCCCCATTCATCCTTCATGATGGCCGGCACTCGACATGCCATTTATCAGGAGGGTTTGGTGGGCGTGCTGAATGCCAGCGGTCGTGGCAACTGTTGTAACTGGGAATGCTCAGCCCGGTCTTCCATGTCCTCATCCTTCTCATCCTTCCTCTCTGTCCTCAAGGACGGACTGATTCTTGAGCCTTCTCTAAGAATCTTTTCCTATGCTTTCATCGCCATCCCACACTCCTCACTTTCCTTTCCTTTTTTTTCAAAAGAAAACTTATGGTTCCGGCTCCTTGTCCATTCTGGGGAGCATCAGCCTGATCCCCTATTCCACAGGCAAGACTCCTTACTTGAATTCTCCTCGTCTTCCTTTGCTTTGTCTTCGTTCCATCTTTTCTCTGTGTTTATCCCCTCCCCCGTACTCTCCCTGGTTCTCACAGTGTACAAGTCCGTCGTTATGGCACATCTCGATGCCATATTTTTGTGGGTGGTGCCTCTGACCAGGAGGTTTGGAGTGTATGGCCGCATGGGGCACACAAGCTTAAAAACATGGGGCTGTCAAACGTGCTGCCAGGCAGGGCTCTAGTGGAAGGCAAAAAACTCGCGAATAGTGCTCAGCAGCACTACCACACTTGTCGCGAATGAGCAATCCGTTTGAAATGGGGCTGGCCAGTCTCTATATTGACTTGGACTGGGCCTTGACTCGTCCTAGTCTCTGCTTCTCTTGGCTTTACTTGGACCCGCTACCGGCTGCCGGCGGCCTGTTTGCATCCGGAATGTTGAGGCCCGGTACCTCCCTGAGTTTTCCTTGGTGAGCTGCTGCTTGTGGTCTGTGGGACGTGACCTTTGACTGTGGGATGTGACTCTTGCCTGTGGATGTGACGTTTTACTGTAGGACGTGACTTTTGACTGGGTACCAGTTGGACTTGACTTCTGGGTTACCCGAGTTGACCTTTCTGAATCTGGCCGACCCGGCCTCTTTTCACGTGGGGACTTTTGGCCCTGAAGCCCGAATTCGGGGTCTTCAGTGTGAAATGCGTTTCATCAGGTTTGCGTTCCCTTAAACCACCAGTACTTGGCCCAGCTATTGATGCCAAGCCTAAATATGCCCTGCGCGCCAAGCTTTGCCGAGCCTGGAAGGGGCGGGAACCGGTAGGGGGCATTTTGTGGTTGGCACAGGTACCGCCCCTTGTGGTGGACCTGCAACCAGCAGCTGGTGCGAAACGGGGTAGCTGTTTACACTCGTACATTAGCCCACGCCGGCCACAATTGAGAAACGGCCAACTAACTTCTGCCAAAAAGAAAAAAAAACAACTAAAAAAGGCAAGAAGGGTGCTCTCAGCTCTGTCAGAGGCCCGCCTCTCACGGCGGGCAGAAGGAAGAGCTTTTCTGATGTGCTCCCCGTGAAGACCAAAAAAATGGCGGAAAATAAAAATAAAAATAAAAAATGGCGGTGTACCTCTTTCCACGGTCCAGCAGATGATTCAGTCTCCCCACATGTATCTTTCCATGTTGTAGGGGTCGATTCAGTCTTATTTTGCACAAGTCGGACCAAATCTTCTTCCGGAGAAGGAAAAAAAAGACTGAAAAGGGCAAAAAGGATTCAAAGCGCCCTCAGCGCTGTCAGAGGCCCGCCTCCCACGGCGGGCAGAAGGAAGAGCTCAGTGGTAACTCTCCAAATGTGAAGGCATGAGACCGAATCCTCCTATGGAACATGGAAAGATACATTTTTGGTTTTTTAGCAGTCCTGTAGTAGTGTATACATTTTTGGTTTTTTAGCAGTCCTGTAGTAGTGTAGAGAGACCCAACCGAGCTGGCCCTTCGTCTGCCCGCCTGCCCGCCGTGAGAGGGGGGGCGCTCTGAAAACACTCAAGGGCGTTATCTCACTCCTTTTGGCCGCCAAGTGGCGGGTACGACTTTGTTTTTTTTTTCTTCTTTTTTTTTTCCTGC